CCTGGCTGGTCGGAGGCTTTTGAGCAGGGATGAGAAACAACTAGATTTACATTTAGAAAGGTGACTGAGGCAGCAAGATAGACGGAGGATGGGCCCAAGGGACCCACACTGGAAGCTGGGAGGCTGGAAGCAGTCAGAAGGCCTATAGTAACTGCAGCTTCCTCTCTATATTAGCTTGCTGGGGCTATCATAACACTAATAACCACAGGCTAGATGCTTAAACAAAAGAGATTTTTATTTTCTGGAGGCTATGAGTTCATGATCTGAGTGTTGGCAGGTTTGGTTTCTCCGAAGGCCTCTGTCTTTGGCTTGTAGATGGCGACCTTCTTGGCCTTTCCTCTGTGCAAGAGCATCCCTGGTGTGTTTTTGTGTGTCCAAATTTCCTCGTATAAGGACACCAGTCTGATAGGATTATGGGCCAACCTAACAGCCTTGTTTTAACTCAGTCACCATCTTCCAAGGCACAATCTCCCAATACAGGCACATTCTGAGGTTCCAGAAATTAGGCCTCAACATATGAGTTTGGAGGTGTCAGGAACACAGTTTAGCCCATAGCATTTTTTTTTTTTTTTTTTTCGAGATGGAGTCTTGCTCTGTCATCCAGGCTGGAGTGCAGTGGCACAATCTCGGCTCACTGGTTCAAGCGATTCTCCTGCGTCAGCCTCCCAAGTAGCTGGGACTACAGGTGCGTGCCACTAAGCCCGGGTAATATTTTTGTATTTATAATAGAGACGGGGTTTCACCATGTTAGCCAGGATGGTCTCAATCTCCTGACTTCATGATCCGCCTACCTCAGCCTCCTAAAGTGCTGGAATTACAGGTGTGAGCCACCACGCCTGGCCTTTTTTTTTTTTTTTTTTTTTGAGACAGAGTCTTGCTCTATCACCCAGGCTGGTGTGCAATGGTACAATCTTGGCTCACTGCAACCTCTGCCTCCCGTTCAAATGATTCTTCTGCCTCAGCCTCCCAAGTAACTGGGACTGTAAGCATCTGCCAACCACGCCCAGCCAATTTTTGTATTTTTAGTAGAGACAGGGTTTCATCATATTGGTCAGGCTGGTCTCGAACTCCTGACCTTGTGATCCGCCTGCCTTGGCCTCCCAAAGTGCTGGGATTACAGGCATGAGCCACGGAGCCGGGCCAACAATTTCTATTAGTAACAGGTATGGAATGGGGTCTGGAAACTGGTAAGATTAAATCATTTTCCATTCCATCATTAGGAAATAGCCAACTCCTATAATCCAACAAAATTTTCTGTAAACTGGGCTTTTCAATCTGTTAAAGACTAATTTTTTTACCTCTGGATCCTGAGACACAGCGGAGAGTCTCATACAGATCACAGGGGGGGCTCACTGAATTAATGGAGGATGAATGGAGGAATTCATTATCTGCAATGGTAATGCACACTGAACTGTGGCTTGTCCTCAGACTCTAGGGAAAAGAGAGTCGTAGAGTAAGACTTGCCTGGTGTATGACAGGGCCAGGAGCTCTCACCTCTGTGATTCAAAGGCATTTCATCTTTTCTTTTTGAGATAGGCGGGCAGATCATGAAGTCAGAAGATTGAGACCATCCTGGCTAACATGATTATCTCCCTTGCCAATGCACAAGTTTTCTTTCACTCTGTTGCCCAGGCTGGTCTCAAAGTCCTGGGCTCAAGTGATCCGCTTGCCTTGGCCTCCCAAAGAGCTGGGATTACAGGTGTGAGCCACCATGGCTGGCCCAAGTATTTGCATTTCAAGACCAATGTGTAATTGTGACATTTTTGTCTTCTATAGATCAGGAGCTCCTGGAGAACTGGGTTTTATACATCTGCCTTTGCATTCCCAGCCAGTAACCCAGGTTTTCACAAAAAGGAAGTGTGCCATTTTTGTTTGTGGAATGAATGAGATAATTAGATTAAGAACCCCTGATAGGCGGGAGCTGTAACTTTGCAATCAGGTTGTGTGTTTGTTTGTGGTTCATGATGTGTGCAGTCCAGTTTGTGGTTCATGTTTTATTGTTTGTTTGTTTGTTTTGATTGTAGGAACAGTGGAGAGCCCTCAACAAATGCTTCATTGGGAAAACTGCAACCAACAGCCGAGAACTGCCTCATCTCACTGCTAAATCTGTAAACTGATTTTTTTTTTTTTTTTTTTTTTTTTTGGAGACGGAGTTTCGCTCTTGTTACCCAGGCTGGAGTGCAATGGCACGATCTCGGCTCACCGCAACCTCCGCCTCCTGGGTTCAAGCAATTCTCCTGCCTCAGCCTCCTGAGTAGCTGGGATGACAGGCATGTGCCACCATGCCCAGCTAATTTTTTGTATTTTTAGTAGAGACGGAGTTTCACCATGTTGACCAGGATGGTCTCGATCTCTTGACCTCATGATCCACCCGCCTCGGCCTCCCAAAGTGCTGGGATTACAGGCTTGAGCCACCGTGCCCGGCCTTTTTTTTTTTTTTTTTTTTTAAAGATGGGGTTTCACCATGATGGCCAGGCTGGTCTTGAAATCCTGACCTCAGGTGATCCACCCACCCTGGTCTCCCAAAGTGCTAGGATTACAGGTGTGAGCCACTGTGCCCAGCCTGATTTTCTTCTTTCTTGTTTCAGTGGAGAAGATCCTTTCTTCTACCAAACATCAATGATTTCAACTATGCCCTGGAGCCTACCCCTCACCTTTTTAAGATTTTAAATCATTAACTATCCCCCTCTTTTATTTTCCACCTCTCTACTGGATATCCATCCCTAACATTAAACATACTCTAATTTCCCATGTTTGTTTGTTTGGTTTTTTTTTTTTTGTCTTTTTTTTTTCCTTTTTGTGGAGAACAGGGTCTTGCTATGTTGCCCAGGCAGGCCTCAAGCTCCTGGGCTCAAGCTATCTTCCTGCCTCTGCCTCCCCAAAGTACTGGAATTATGGTGTTAGCCACCATATCCAGCTTCTCATTTCCTATCTTAAAAAAGGCTCTGGCCGGGCGCGGTGGCTCAAGCCTGTAATCCCAGCACTTTGGGAGGCCGAGGCGGGTGGATCACGAGGTCGAGAGATCGAGACCATCCTGGTCAACATGGTGAAATCCCGTCTCTACTAAAAGTGCAAAAAATTAGCTGGGCATGGTGGCACGTGCCTGTAATCCCAGCTACTCAGGAGGCTGAGGCAGGAGAATTGCCTGAGCCCAGGAGGCGGAGGTTGCGGTGAGCCGAGATCGCGCCATTGCACTCCAGCCTGGGTAACAAGAGCGAAACTCCGTCTCAAAAAAAAAAAAAAAAAAAAAAAAGGCTCTGTATCCCATCCCATGCCTCCTTTCGGTTCTCACCCTATTTTGCTGCTTTCCTTCTTTTTTCTCTTTTCTTTTTTTCCCCTTTTTTTCTTTCTTTTTCTTTTCTTTTCTTTCTTTCTTTTTTTTTTTTTTTTAAGATGGGGTTTCACCATGATGGCCAGGCTGGTCTTGAACTCCTGACCTCAGGTGATCCACCCACCCTGACCTCCCAAAGTGCTAGGATTACAGGCGTGAGCCACAGCGCCCGGCCTGTTGCCTTCCTTCTTAAAAAGAGCTGTCCACGACTGGGCGCAGTGGCTCACGCCTGTAATCCCAGCACATTGGGAGGTTGAGGTGGGTGGATTACTTGAATTTAGGAGTTTAAGACCCGCCTGGGCAACATGTCAAAACCCCATCTCTACCAAAAATACAAAAACTTAGCTGGGTGTGGTGGTGTGCGCCTGTAGTCCCAGCTACTGGGGAGGTGGAGGTGAGAGGATCACCTGAGCCCAGGAGGTCCAGGCTGCCGTGAGCCGAGATGGTGCTATTGCATTCCAACCTGGGAGACAGAGCAAGAAACAGTCCAAAAAAAAAAAAAAAGTGCTCGGCTTGTTATCAATGTGTAGTGCCTTACATTGTATCAACTCATTTAATCTTCACAATAGCAACATGGCTTGGGGCCCAGGAGGACTACTGTAAACCCCATTTTACAGAACAGGAAACGAAGGCACAGAGTGGCAGAGCTGGGATTACAACCCCAGGCAATCTGGCTTTAGAGACCATACCCTTAACTGTGCTAGAGCATTATCCCAATGAATGTTGATATATTTGTGACTTCATTTCTTCAGCCATTATCTCCCTCACCAACGCACAGGTCTGCGGGAGCATGAACTGTCTGAAAGGTTCTGAATTTAGCTTCAAGCACAGTGCCTGGCAAATATCATTTGTTGAATAAATGGATCTATCCACGTATATCTATGTCTCTATCTATCTATCTATCTAATTTTTTGGAGACGGAGTGTCACTCTGACACCCAGGCTGAAGTGCAATGGCATGATCTCGGCTCATTACAACCTTTGCCTCCTGGGTTCAAGCGATTATCCTGCTGCCTCAGCCTCCCGAATAGTTGGGATTATAGGCATGCACCATCACACCCGGCTAATTTTTGTATTTTTAGTGGAGACGGGGTTTCACCACGTTGGCCAGGCTGGTCTGGAGTTCAGGAGACTTCAGGTGATCTGCCTGCGTTGGTTTCCCAAAGTGCTGGGATTGCAGGCGTGAGCCACCAAGCCCGGCTTGGATCAACATATTTTTAAAAAATTCCCCACTGGGAGGGATTCAATGTAGGACTGAATCCCCATATTTTAGAAACCGCCTTGTTCCTTCTTGCCTCGATTTCCCATCCTGTTACTCAAAAGGCTCAGGGTGGGAGGATAAAGTCAGGTACAAGAGGCAGCGAGCGCAGGGACTAGGAAAATGGAGTTGGAAGCCGGAATCTTCAGTTTCCCCGGCTGCATGAGGCACCATGTGCACCACGTGGACTACAGAGGACACTGTAGTCTCCATTTTGAAGCGGTGTCCAGCCTTGAAGACATAGGCTCCAATTTCTCACTGTGAAGAAGCCCGGGAAAACCGGGCGCGTAGGAGGCGCGCGACTGGCCGTAACCCGGCTGCGCGGCCTCTAGGTAGGGGCGGAGTCCGAACCCGGCCTCCACGGGCCCCGCCCACGGACGGCGGAAGCCGGGCCCGCCCTCGCCGCCCGGGCCTGGGCGTGTCCCGCAGCCGCACGGCATGCTGGGAAGGCGTCCGCGCGGCGGCCATTTTGTCTTGTCGGCTCCTGTACAGAGGAGGCTTTTCGGCCTGAGAGCGGGCGGAGGAGATTGGCGACGGTGTCGCCAGTGTTTTCGCTGGCTGGTGCCTGGGCTGGTGGGAGCAGCCGCCCGAAGGAAGCACCATGATTTCGGCCGCGCAGTTGTTGGATGAGTTAATGGGCCGGGACCGAAACCTCGCCCCGGACGAGAAGCGCAGCAACGTGCGGTGGGACCACGAGAGCGTAAGTCCCGCGGGCCTTGGGCCTGAGCCCGGGCTCTGTGGGGGAGGGGAACGGGCGCGGGCTCTGGTCCGCCGGACCGCGGCGGGATGTGGAGCCAGGGCCGCGCTGGGGTCGAGCGTCTGACCCGGTGCCCAGGGAGCCAGGAGGGAGGATGGCCCAGGAGGGAGGACGGTGTCCGGACCCGGGGATGGGGGTGATTCGGTTTTGTTGTGCTACTATCAAGGGGGTCCGGGAGAGCCCTTGGCAGAATTGAAAAGCACCTTGGTGAGGCGGCGAAACGCGGGAAAAGGAAGGATATCAGCATCTTATTAAATCTAGCGGCTCCGAGGTTTCACCTCATTATGAAATAGGGAGAAGGGCACATTCTTCTGTAGATTGGGTTGAGCGTCGTATTTAGACTGAAATTTTTGATCAGGTTTCATGGTAAAAATCGTGGGGGTATTTTATTTCAGTAATTTCAGTGTGACGCTTATACGGAGAAACAGAAATGTAAAAGTAGTAGTTACTTGTTAGAGTTTACCGTGATGATTTACAAATACTGTTCGTTAACGGTATTCTGATAAGTCCCCTATATAGGCAGTTGTCAAGGTTTTTTTCTTCCACGTAGAACTCATTTGATGCTCTTAGCCATGTGAGTAAAGGTAAATATTATAACCCCCGTTTCACAGGTGAGACGTAGAGGTTCACCCAAAGTTCTTGGCAGCTGAGGAAACTAATCTTTGTAGTTCTGTTGCTTTCCAGAATCCTATGAAACTGGTTCTCCGCAAATACTGTAGCGTATTTCAGGTGTTTTAATCTAGTTTTGAACATGCAGTGTAATGTTTATTTTAGGTCTTTCTTGGAGAATAGATACGAAATTTAATTGGACTTTGCGGTTGTAATCCAACATGCTAATTTTAAAACAATTACAAATCATAATATGAAGGAATAGTTCAGGTAATGCATGCTTCTTTAGAAATGTATTTTCATACTCTTTTTAAACGTAGGCTTTGGTTAAGGTAAAATTTCTTTTTTGCAGTGCAGGAAAGCAAGTTGGTCCTAGATGACTCCTTTTAGTTTAAGAAAGAGTAACTTTGTGTCAAGTTGTATTGGGGGGGGGGGTCCTACCTGGTTTCAAAGTAGTATGAAACATTCTTAGACTAGAAGTCACTGTTTTTAAAGAGGTGAGTTTTTTGTTTTTAACAGTTAGGCTCCCCCACCCCCACCCCACCGTTTGTCACAATAGGAGACTAAGGAACTGCTCATCTTGATCATCTTTCTTTTGTAGACCTCTTTGTTACAGAAAAGTAACTTTTTCTTTTCTATTGTTTTAACTACCTAACTCTAACCTTTCAGTCTTGAGCTTTGCAAAGGTAAAAGACAAACCAAAACATTGTGGCGATTCAGTTGATGGGCAAGTAGGATATTTGTGTATTTTGAGTTCAAGAGAAATATGCTTTCTTTCCATTGCACTGCTCATCAGTTGGAGCAGCCTTGTGTCTCTGCGCCCTTGGTTTTGAACACGTTTTAGAAAGACTGTTTTCTTTCCCGGGGTAATTTGTTGCTACATTGCATTGTTTGTCATGGGCTTATGACTCTGCAATGATGAGGTTCTCAGAATAGCAATTTAGGTTTTATGCCATCTCAGCCATAATCTGCCTTGCTTTCAGTTTTAGTACTTTTCACTGATTTTAACTTTCAGTGTGTGTTACTAAAGTATTTAATACCTTAATGACAGATTGCACTTTATTTTGGATTGAAGGATTTCATGTCAGTTACTGGCATTTCAGATTCATATCTGCAGGGAGAATGTCGGTAGTGACCAAAAACAAAGCACATGGTCTCATCTAAATCAGTGGAATTATTGTGTAATGAAGCTGGGGAAGCTCTTGATATCATTTCCGGGTTATTTGCATATTGTTGTGCTGTTGGCTGTTCGTGCTAAAGCTGCAGGAATGGGCAAACTCAATATGCTGAAAAGGATTCACCATCACTATAGCCTGATATTTTAACGTATTTTTGCATTCCTGTTCTATCTGGAAATTTTTCTTGGCCATACTTGCATTAGATGGAAAAAGCCACTTCAGCTGGATGGGATCCTTGTTTTTTTCTTTGGAATAGAGATAAATAGGGAAGTAACCGTTGATTAAAACGACAGTTGCCGTGGCATCTGTAGATATTTAACAGTCAAAATGGAAACTTTACCTTAGTATTAAAAGTAGTCCCTAGATAGCTGTATTTGACCTGTGGAATTGGTTTTAAGTGCAGAATTCTGTATTTCAACCCCTTCAATTCCCCTTCCCAGAGAGTCTGATTCTGTCTGTCTTGGGGAAGGGTCCCAGTGTCTGCATTTTTTAAAATGGCTCCTCCTATGCATTCTAAAGTTTGTGACCTACTGTTTCCTGACCCATCCTGATAAATGTTGGGCTTTTAATTCTTATTAATTTGGTAGTCGATTTTAATACTCTTTTTCCTTTTTGTGACGAGTGATTTGTGAGCAAGCAGTACTTGGGAAGCTCAGTTTTAAGTAAAGGATGCATCTGCGATGCAAATTATCGGCCGTTTATTTGTAGTGATGTGTATGTAACCGTCACCAAGGTGTTTTACTAGAGTTAGTGCTTTTACAGCCATTTCCAACTTTGTAGCTTGCTGCCTCTGGGTCTGAGAAAGTTTGCAGCTCAAGTCAAATCGGCTTTAATACTGTTTCATGAATTCATTGGTACACCCTCCCACCGTGTTTATATTTATATTTTGCAATTGTTTGAGACTATTGTTTTGGCTTTTTGAACTAAGCAGTTGCTTGGGTAATCCTAAACAACCACAGTGATGAGAAAGCATGTGATTGTAACTGACTGCATAGGGTGAGTACCTTTCAGTGAGGGTTTGATTTCAGTGTTTGCCAGAGAAGGTACTAGTAGCCGTATTATTAGAAGATTGTAGTAAAGTTTAATCTGGCTCTTTTGTTATTTTTTATGTAGCAAGACAGAAATGTTGTAGTTCAAATTAAGGTTTTTTTGAGTGCAGTGGCGCAATCTCAGCTCACTGCAATCTTCGCCTTCTGGGTTCAAGCAATTCTCCTGCCTCAGCCTTCCTAGTAGCTGGTACTACAGGCATGCGCCACCACGCCCAGCTAATTTTTGTATTTTTTAGTAAAGACGGGGTTTTACCATGTTGGCCGAGATGGTCTCAATCTCTTGACCTTGTGATCCGCCCGCCTCAGCCTCCCAAATTAAGGTTTTTATATTCTAGATCTCAACCTGGAAATGAAGTTACAGGTACTTAACTGTTGACTTTGATTTTAATGCTATCTGAAATGAGATTCCATTTATGAAACTCAAGCCTACCCTTTGTTTCATGAAGATTTAATAATTATGAAGGAAATTGAACTAAATGTTCTCTTCTAAAGAAATCTTTGGAGTGTTAGCAGATATTGTCATTGCCACGGAAAAGTTGTTTAGAAAAGGAAAAACAGCTAAGGCGTATGTCCACAGTTCTTCCTTGTAAACTTTCTTTCTGCTTAAAAAAAAAAGTTCAGAATTTGGGAGCGAAAATTGAAAGGTGAAAAATAGTAATTACAATGCATGACATTTATCAATATGTATTTTATTAGTTTTCATTCAGAGTCACCAAAATGTTCATAGTTAACTTACTAGGTTACTATGGAGTAACTTAGAAAAGTTAGCATTTTTTTACCCCGTCTCGGCCTCCTCCATTTTTTTTTTTTTTTTTTTTTAAGACAGAGTCTCAAAAATTAGCTGGGCATAGGGGTGCATGCCTGTAATCCCAGCTACTCCAGAGGCTGAGGTGGGAGGATCCGTTTAACCCAGGAGGCAGAAGTTGCAGTAAGCCGAGATGGTGCCACCACAGTCCAGCCTGGGCAACAGAGTGAGACTCTGTCTCCAAGAAAAGCAATAACCACAATACCGTAATCACACTAAAAATAATAGTAAGGTATTTTCTAAATCTTTGGTTGCTTTAGGAAAATGTGTTTGTGTGTATATCATTATATACATAGTTAGACTTGATTTCCTTACAAAGGGAGAAGGCAGCTTAGGTTTGTAACTGATACTTTTGCTCATGCAGTGCTTCATTTTATGAAATATTTTGTCTTTATTTCTTACTAGTAAGTTGGGAAAATTCTCATTTATGCAACAAAAATGTATTGCTCTTAGGTAGATAACAGGAGGATAGTACACATGGAGCACTTGGTCCTAGAGAGGCATCAGGTGCTGGTGAGAGATAGGAAGGAGTAAATGCCCTTGGTTTTGTTTTTTCCAATTGAATGTAAATGTATTTCCCTAATGGAATATTATAAATACCACCATTAGGAAAAGTAAAATTGACCCTTGAACAACATAAGTTTGAGCTGAGTGGGTCCACTCATGGATTTTTTTCAGTAAATATATTGGAAAAATTTTTGGAGATTTGTAACAATTTGAAAAAACTAGACAAACTATAGCCTAGAAATATTTATAAAAATTTATGTATGTGGCCGGGCACGGTGGCTCAAGCCTGTAATCCCAGCACTTTGGGAGGCCGAGGTGGGTGGATCACGAGGTCGAGAGATTGAGACCATCCTGGTCAACATGGTGAAACCCCGTCTCTACTAAAAATACAAAAAAATAGCTGGGCATGGTGGCACGTGCCTGTAATCCCAGCTACTCAGGAGGCTGAGGCAGGAGGATTGCCTGAACCCAGGAGGCGGAGGTTGCGGTGAGCCGAGATCGCGCCATTGCACTCCAGCCTGGGTAACAAGAGCAAAACTCCGTCTCAAAAAAAAAAAAAAAAAAAAAAAAAAAAAAAAAAATTTATGTATGTATTTATTAGAATTCTGGGTTTTTTGTTGTTGTTGAGATGGAGTCTAGCTCTGTCACCAGGCTGGGGTGCAGTGGCATGATCTTGGCTCACTGCAACCTCTGCCTCCCAAGTTCAAGCGATTCTCTCCTGCCTCAGCCTCCCAAGTAGCTGGAATTACACTCATGTGCTGCCACGTCCAGCTTACTTTTGTAGTTTAAGTAGAG